CGAATCCGGGGTGACATCCAGTGATCTCCAAGCTGGTGATAACTCGGCGATCGTCATTCTCACTTCATATCCAGGAAGGCGGCTGTGGTCAAGAGCGAACACACAGGCATCTTCATCAGGGGGTCCAGTCTTCATTGGGTCAAGGAATAAGAACATTGGAGGCGCATGAGTGGTGGCTTCTTTTCTGTACAATGCACCAAGCGCTGTTCCACAGTCAGGAAGGAATTGGTAGGTTCCTCGGACGTCGTGATCAAGAACTGCGACATCTTGACTTGATCCTTCAACGAGAATACTGTCCCAAACTTTTGCATCAACAAATTGGGCGGCTTTAAGACCGCACTCCGATTGGAATGATCGGACTTGGCTTCCTCGGCCAGAAATTGGAAGTGAGAATGGGGTGCTAACGGGTGAACAAACTTTCCATTTACCCACGACAAACGACCCAGAGGTGGGACTCATTCTGGCTATTGGCTTGGCTAGCACTTCTCGGATGATGCTTCTCGTGCTCGCGGACTTGGGGGGCTTTGCGTACAAAAGCCATTGGATGGAGTCCGGACCGATATCAAGGAACAAGCTGGAGTGCGCGCCATCATAAACGACTCGCCATTTTCTTCCACGCTTGATTTCGTAAAACCGGAAGACGTCGTGCGTAGCTGCCTTCACGCGAAGAATAAAGTCGGGCCAAAACTGGGGGAGGTTGTCGGTAGGGTAAAGGGTTCTGAACGTCTCGAAGTCCAACGCGGACAAACCAGACAGCATAAGCTTCAGGGGAACAAGTCCCTTCAAATTCGCTATAAACTCAGACGGCTTTTGTCGAGAAAGTGGGGAAACATGTAGATACGAATGCGTGGGATTTCCACGGCAGGATTTGCAAGCGGTATGTCCGCACAGTGTGCAACTGTAGATTGAATCTTGAACCCCAGTCTGTCTTTCGCAGGAACAACACAGAACGCTGCTCGCTGCCTTGTCTTTGAGAACAGAATGGTCGACGAGGGGGGCTTCGGCGATTTGGAGGTTGCTTCTCACGAGGCTGTGGACCTCGCTGGGAACGAGAAGGGACTTGGCCTCCGCGTCACCGGGGTTGGTTGAACCTTCCTCATCATCATCAAGAACCTCATGCACGGCTATCAGACCAGCAAGCATGATTGCACACACGACTGTACTCGTCATTGCATTTCCTGCCATATCCATCAAATCGGCTTGGGTTTCTCTCGTGAGTAGCATTCGATCGAGAGGCAGACCTTGCAACGAAAGGGCTTCCGTGCCAGATACGGGCCCCCCGCGGGTGGTCACAAATGGGATGCCCTTTGGCGTTAGGCACCCCGCGATCCCGGACCCGGCAAGACTGTCATTCCCTCGATCGACTCCCTGAGACAAGTCGATCCAACGCCTGTGAAGTGAAGCTGTTAGTAAAATATTCCTCAAATGAAAGCAAAGCAAAGTGAAAGTGAGAGAAGATTGAAAAACTTACTCCTTGAAGTTCATGTCATAATCTTGCAGCATCTTCTTCAAGAAATTCATATCCACGGTCTCCCACACTCTCTCCGGCTGTGTCTTCCAGAAACGATGCCAATAGAAGTCCGGTGCCTTCAGGTCATTGATTCCGGGTAGGGATCGAGTGATTGGCCTCTCGATGCCTAGTTCCAGTTCGCCACGGTGCCGCTCGTGGCGAATCTGGTACTGGTCCCAGCTCGTTTCGCTTCTGGACTCAAGGCGGGCTCTCATCTCGATAAGCTCGAGTCGGCGGTCGTCGTCACTCAGCAAGAACAACCCCACCGGCGCACTCGCTGGCCGTTTGAATTGACCAGCGAGCTCACGAACGCGTTGAGTGACACTGTCAATGCCACTCTGGTCCATGGGGCCTCCAAGCAGGCCCGCTGCTTCCAAGCGGCGCTTGTCAATGACCACCATGTACCCGCGCTCGCGTGTCTGTGGGATGTAGTAATGCTTTGTGTCGACATTGACACAAACCGACATGTATCCGAGCTCCTCCCATTTCCCCTTCATCTGATCCCAGGGAGCATTCCGGACATTCTCCTGGACGACCATGCGGGGTCGATATCTCTCCGCGTACCGCAAGAGACCGTCGAATGTCGCTCCTGACTCGCCGCCTTGCTGGAGCGTCTTCTTGCGGTTGTTCAACGGGGAGAAATCGACACAGGCAGTTCCAGCAACTAAGATGTCGAGATCACCGGGAATCACTTCCGATGACCCGTAGGCGGTCCGCCTGCAAAATCAAAGTCAGTATGAAAGTCAAGTCAAAAGAAGATGAATGAGTACTTACGCCACGTCCCCTCCGAGTTCGGTGATGTCCCGAAAGAGGATGGGTGGGCGGAAGTTCCGTTCAATGTATGATTGCTTGAACGGAACAATCTCGCAGCTGAAAGCGTGCGAGATCCGTAGTTGCTGGGCCTCTGCCAAACCTGTTGAAGTTTGAAGTAATATTAGCAATTGCTCCATGATCATATTCCAGAATGAACCAAGCAAAAAAATGCGAGGTATCAGACAGAAAGGTGAGAGTGAGATGAATAAAAAACAAGTGATATATCAATGCCAGACTGAAGCCATCATGACATGGAAGTCAAGGCAAAGTAAAGGTATACAAATTAGGGCAAGGAAGGAGACATGTGACTTGGGCGCGCGATGAAGTGAGGAACCTCAACCATGGAACCACCCAAGCAACATAAACCTTAACACAAATCTCAACATGAACATCGAATGAAGCAAACAAGCAACTGGAGAAAAGAAGAAGAAAAAAGACAAGACACTGCACTGCACTTACCCGTCTGGATCAATTCCAGGGCGAGAAGTGGGGCTTCCGTTCCTGAGCACATTGTCGCCACCCGAAGTGGGCGACTGCCGAGCCGACTGAGGACATGCTCGAATCCCATTTTCAGGGCGTTTGATGCCATGTCAGCGAAAATTTCTGTCAGCGTATGCAGAGGCGGGAGGTCACTGGCTAGATACCGACCCCGAGGGATCGTGCATCCCCGCCGCAGCTCAGGAATCTCCTCGGCCCGGGCCCTAGGCTCCTGATCATCCGTTGCCAAACCCACCGCTGACTGCTGCTGAGGATCCCCCTTTGACGCCATGGCCTGCGTTGGTGGAGGGGGCGAGAAGTTGAGGTAGTCGGAATTTAGATGATACTGGCAAGCCAGTCAAGAAGAAGAAACACGCTGAAAAACCTCGGAAACCGAGGTAGAAACAATGTGATGACCTTTATCACCGGCTCAGAGCACGAAGCAAAGCGGCAAACATGCAAGTCAATGATGGAGCGGTGATTGTTTGGAAAGGTGGGAAAGGAAGAAGAAGAAGGGGAGGGAACCAGGACGAGACACTCATATATGCGTGATGCCCAGGCAACGATCTTGTTCTCGTCAGAACAAGTAGGCACTCGATGCGACAGTTACCTATTCGCACACGCAAAACCCGGGTGGCTCTCGCCCGATTCGGCGCGACAGCATGTGACGACGATGACCTGCGCTGAGACGTACACCTGCGCTGACATATACTGCTGCGTGGCGACAACCAAGGTTGGATACTCCGCCATGCTCAATTACCCATGTACGGGTGATATGTCTGTGGTGATAGACCGCCCACGCCGATGACTACACCCATTCCAGGGCTCCGATATCAATACTTGCGTGATCTCCTTGTAATGGACCCCAAGCCCCAATCAAACACCAGAGCCAAAGTAGTGGAATATGCCATCCGACAACATCATGCTTCTCGTGACAATACCACCGGAACGGGAGTAGATAAACTATGAACGGACATTCTGGGTTCTTTTAAGAAGATCCCATTATATCTTTCAGTGACATGCCGGCGGTTGGCCTTGAGGCACAAATCCTCCTTTTTCGGCATTGTTAATACTCATAGAGCATGTATAAAATAGAGAAATTCTGCATTCATTGAATAGATTAGGTGCTGAAAATATGTTTTCTGTGTAGATCCTTTCGATCAGCCACAGTAGAGCTCAGCATTAGATAGTCCTAAACCGGAACGTTGGAAGGTTGTACAGCCTGTATTTTTTGTTTGTACTTCATCATGTCTGTATCTTGAATGGTGCTCTTTTGTGGTGCTGTTCTTTGTTTTTGATGCGAAGACCCCTGTGTTCGTATAACACACTACCAAAGCTGTATGTAATATGATTGACTTACTAGGGTGAGCAGAGCTTCTAGGACTGGTATGTTCCACCATCAGTTGAGGCAGCAACGAAATGACGTCTGTATATATGCGTTCCGGGGACGAGATATGCTAGTTTTGCATTGCTTGTCTATTTTTGGTTTATCTTGAGTGGTACAGGATGTTCCCATGGTATAAACTATAGGTAATGGAGCTATTATGGGAAATTATATAGGAATCAATGTTAATGGGCTTACGCGCCGATATCATACTCATATACTGATGTCGGTTTCTTCTCTTCAGGCTTATAAATTGCAATTAAGACTACGAATTACACCAATCTTGAACATGATTGGTGCCAGTTAATTAATGGGTTGGCAGTTATTCACCAAACATTGAAGATCATATGTAAGATTTACCGAAATCCATTATAAAGGTCTGCAAGCCATAGCAAGAGAATTCCTAGAGTGCCAATTCTAGACCTTGTCAATGTAGCTTTGTTAAGCTTACGAAGTGAAACAACCCTAGGAAGTTTATCCGGCACTGACAAACGCGCCTAGGACGTCCACGGGATGAAGCATGTTGCCTTTGAAAGTCTCAGGAGGGGTGGGGGTGGCAAGTAGATATTGATTAAAGAAATAGAAGGACAGGGAGAATCAAGATATCATTCTGTGGCTATTCTGAAGGTAGAGCTTGAAATTGACCCGGTATGCAAATCAATGGGAAAAAATGAGAACCCCTTTGCGCCACCCATTCGCCTAGTACAGTGGCATAAGAAAAGGAGAAAAATAAAATATTGGCCATGCCAGGCTTGCTCTTCACGAGCAAAGCTACAAAATATCCGAATCCATATGCAGTATCAAGAGGAAGATACCCTACCGCATGCCGCTCTGCATCAATTGCTGGCGTAGCAGCATGATCTGGCTTCTTTCCATAGGAGGCAAAGCATCAATAGTAGCCTGGGGCATGCTGAGGACTTGCTGAAGGAGCTCCTCCTGGCCGTGCATCGGGGCGGCAGGTTGAACCGGGGGAGGGGCGAAAGGAGTTCCGGTGACAGGCGGTGTAGAGATCTGACCAGGAACACCGTATTGTTGGAATTGTTGGGGAGTTGGCTGTTGCGGAACTTGGGGAGGCTGGGCAGCCTGTTCAACGATGGAACCAAGCAGCTGGTATTCGACCAGATTCATGAGGAGTAGCGCCTGGAAGACGGCATAGGCGAGCTGAGGCGCTTGGCGCAGCAATTCAGTGGCGCGCGCCGGGTCAGCAACCGCCAGAGATTTCATTTGTGTCAGAACATCGAGCAGTTGGTTTGGTGGGAGGGATGCGAGAGTGTGGGAGATGGCGTTGGGGCAGTCGATTTGAGGCGGGAGTTCCACGCCTGGGGGGAGAGGGAGGCAGCGGCGCAGAACCTTGAATCGGTTGCTGCTGTGTGGGATCTTGGTTCATCATCGGTTGCGACTGCTGCGAGTAATCTGGAGGTACAGAATCCTTCTCGTTGTTGTGAGGCCAATCAACACGAATCTTGCGGCCCATGACTTCGTGATCGTTAAGGTTGCGCACCGCCGAGGCAGCGGCATCGGCATCCGCAAAGTCTGCGAATCCATAACCCTTGGGCTTGCCAGTCTCGGGGTTCATCATCAATCGGAACTTGGTAACGGTACCGGCCGTGCTGAGGATATCTTTGACTTGTTCCTCGGTGAGGTCTAGAGGAAGATTAGAATCGCATATGTTAGACAGAGAGCTGCATCAACATACTGTAGGGGATGTTCCCCAGGAATACACTCTTCCCAGTCCGATCGGGCGCCATGATTGCAGTGGGAATGAAATGCGAGTAAGAGAGAGGCAAGAAGTCGAGGCAAGCAAAGAGCCGCTGATTCTGCCCGACTTTCCCTTACCGCCCGCGACCTCACCTCATCCGCTCGAGCATCATACCAAGTTAGTCTCTATCCATCTCCAATACTAACCGCGTACTTCCACACATCATGTCTCAAAATCAACGGGAGGCTTGGGAGCGCCTGCAAGTTATGCTGTCGAAGCGCAAGGCTGGCTTCGGTGGCGGATTCCCATCCGGTGGTGGCCGAGGAGGCATGGGACTTGTCGGAACTCTTGTTCTAGCCGGTATTGGCACTTACGTCGCATCTAATGCTCTGTTTAACGGTACGTTACACTCATATACTCAAGGAATCAAGCTTCTAACAAGTTTTTAGTGGATGGTGGTCACCGTGCCATCAAATACTCGCGACTGGGTGGTGTCCAGAAGGAGATCTACAACGAAGGTATTAAAAAGTCACTAGCGGAAGGAAAGAGCTCTATCTGACATTTGAACGACTTTAGGAACTCACTTCCAAATCCCTTGGTTCGAAACCCCCATCATCTACGATGTCCGCGCAAAGCCTCGCAGCATCCCTTCTCTTACCGGCACCAAGGACTTGCAAATGGTGAACATTACCTGCCGTGTCCTATCCAGACCCCGTGTGGAGGCTCTCCCCCAGATCTACCGAACCCTTGGCCAAGACTTCGATGAGCGTGTTCTGCCTTCCATCGTCAACGAAGTGCTGAAGAGCGTTGTTGCTCAGTTCAACGCCAGCCAGTTGATCACACAGCGTGAGAACGTTGCCCGTCTAGTGCGGGACAACCTGGCTCGCCGGGCTGCCCGTTTCAACATTGCTCTGGACGATGTTTCCTTGACAGTACGTACCCTCCTCCCCGGTCTAGCCCAGATAGCTTCTAACACGGTATCTCCGCGCAGCACTTGACCTTCTCCCCCGAGTTCACAGCCGCAGTTGAAGCCAAGCAGGTTGCACAGCAAGATGCTCAGCGTGCTGCATTCATGGTCGACAAGGCCCGCCAAGAGAAGCAGGCCTTCATTGTCCGCGCACAAGGTGAGGCCCGCTCCGCTGAGCTCATTGGTGATGCCATCAAGAAGAGCAAGAGTTACATCGAGCTCCGTAAGATCGAAAATGCCCGTCACATTGCTCAAATCCTGCACGAAAGTGGTGGCAAGAACAAGCTCTACTTGGACAGCCAAGGATTGGGCCTGAACCTCAACGCCCACAACGAAGAGGGCAAATAAATTCATTCCGCTTGATACTTAATGGCGCTGCTGGAGGGATGTGAATTATTGTACAAATAGCTGGATTACCAAGCATCTGAATGTGGTCTCTTCTCTATTATTTTCCAATGTTTCTTCAACATAGTAAATTTTTGTATGTTGTAAGTGGTAGCTGTAGATCTCCGATATATATTTTTCTCCATGCGGGGACGAAGGCGGCGAGACGATTTTTCTGATTCGGAGGGGCACCACTTTCGGTCTGATAACAATTCAACACACTTGACTAGCTTTGACTAGCAAGTATCACATTTAATTCGTGAGTATTAGTTGAAAATTCTAGCTGACTACTTTTTTTTTTTTTGGAAATAAATATTTGCGAACCCCACTAACAGCACCTAGATCATGCCCGAAGTCATCGACGATACCGCAGTGCACCTCACTGAGGTCGACATCGACCTTGATGTGCAAGAGATCCTCCTCGCTGCATCGCAGCATGACCAGTCCAAGCTGCGCCAGCTCCTCCGCGCCCAATCCATGTTGCCAGATGCCGCAAACGTGAAAGACACCGAGACCGGCTTCTCACCTCTGCACGCCGCAATCGCCGCCTGCGAGCCCGACACAGAGACCGTCGGCTCCAATGGTGCAACCACCTCAGACTCGAAACCCAGTCTGGACGCCGAGACCGTGAAATCCGCAGTGGAGACAGTCAAGTTCCTCCTACAGGAAGGCGCGATCTGGAACGATCTTGACGCAAACAACGAGACACCCGGCTGTATCGCCCGTCGCATTGGCGCTCTCGAGCTATACGAGTTAATCGTCGACGCAGGTGTCCGCGCAGAGTTGCTGCTGAACCGCCTTGACGCATATGAAGAGTTATCCGATGGCGACGACGAAGAGGTGGAAGCCGAAGCTGAGGCTGAGGCCGAGACAGCACCTGAACTCGTCGATGCCTCCGCCGAGCCCGCGACAGAAACCACAACCACAACCACAACCACAGCCACCCCTGCCAACCCTGAAGTGTCTAACTCGCAGTATCTGGAGTCGCGTCTGAACATCTCCAACGACCGGATCCTGGACGCAGACCAGAACGGCGTGATGATGGCCTGGGAAAGCGATATCATGCGCAAGTCCGCGGCAGCACTGCTCCCGACACCCGGACTAAAAGTTCTGAACATCGGTCACGGAATGGGAATTGTGGATGGATTCTTCCAGGAACAGAGACCGGCTGTGCACCATATTGTCGAAGCGCACGAGGAGGTTGTTGCGGAGATGAAGCGACGTGGGTGGGATACTAAGCCTGGTGTTGTTATCCACCAGGGTCGTTGGCAGGATATTCTTCCTGATCTTGTTGCGTCTGGGGAGATGTTCGATGCTATCTACTACGATACGTTTGCAGAGTCATATGGTGATTTCCGGGACTTCTTCTCTGAGCAAGTCATTGGATTGTTGGAGCAGGAGGGCCGGTGGGGATTCTTTAATGGTATGGGTGCTGATCGTCAGATCTCATATGATGTCTACCAGAAGGTTGCGGAGATGGATCTCTTCGAGGCTGGGTTTGATGTTCAGTGGGAGGAGATTGCCGTGCCCAAGTTGGATGGTGAATGGGAGGGTGTGCGTCGGGCTTACTGGGTTGTTGATGATTACAGATTGCCCCTGTGCAAGTTTATGGATTAAAGGACATATTGGATGATTTCATGGAAATGGGATGTTAAGAAAAAAGGACATTGGATGTCTATGACTGAATGCGACGCTTGAAAATGCTATAGAATGGCTAAAAGGAACAATGTACAAATGGTATCACAACTGAATCAAATCCACCTCGGAGAAATCTGGAGGACTGCGACTGAAGATCGTACGGCACTTGCCGTCTAGCGCCTGGTACTCATTGCTGATCCAGACATGTTTGCTAAATCGTTGTGTCCGGTACACTTCGTCGTCACTTACGCCCAAATCGTCACGCGGAATCCAGATGACAGGGCGCTTGGCGCGAAGGGCCTCGTGCTGGAAGGCACGTTGCACCAGCTGGTCACGCTCATCGGGCGTAAGATCCTCTAATTCATCGTGGATACCAGCAAAGAGAGCTTGGCCAACTGTGTTGGGGGCTGGTGCCTGAGCTTCAGTGTCTTGGGCCATCTTTTCCCGCATGTTCCGTAGTGTCGGGGTGGAGGGTGTTGAGTTCTGGCCGAAATATTTAGATTTCCGGTTTGATGAGTTGGAGGCCCATGATGGACTTTTGTGTCCAAGCTTTGGGGTTGACAAGAGATCCGAATTCTGTCGCTTTTGGTCTGGGAAATTGGTCTCCAGAGGTTTCAGCTCAATGTTTTCTCTTATCTCCTTTCCGTGGTCACGCTCTTCGTGTTCACGCTTAGCGAGGGTGTGTTCAATATCACCATCCTCGTCATCGTCATCGTCAAGAGCGAGACCGAGGCGAGCGTGCTGAGCACGACGGAACTCATCATCGCGTCGAATAGCGTCATCTTCCAAGGTGATGGGCAGATATCGGATCAGTGGACTGAACGCTTCGTTGAGAAGAATTTGGTAACCGGCCGTCAATATTAGAACCACGATCATGCAAATAGCCTGTCCCTTACAGGCAACTTCGTCATCCGTGTTCCGAACCAAGAAGAACAAGCCGATTAGGCAGACTTCCATGACGTAAATTCCAGTGAATAGCTGATTGATAGCTCGAGGGAAAAGAAGGCCACCGGTATCAAAGCGGAACTTGGTGACATAGAGTGTGTTATAGCGATAGACGAACCAGAACAGGCCGAAGGTGATGATGTTAAAAATCAAAATCAGAGGTGCGATCACAGAGTAGATCAAACCTTGGAGAATGTCAGTCAATGGATTCAATCAAAAAGATGAGACAACTTACCGATAGAGGCTAGGGTGGTGTAAACAGGGAAGAATGTGCCCCATTGCATCTGATTGAGATTTGTTGTTCTTGCCCACTTCTTCCGGGCAGTAGAGTCCAGAATTGGAGCCAAGATGAACCAGCTCACCAGGCCAAAGATTTGCACAAGAGCACCAGCGCTCACAGACATGGCTTGTAGAATCATGTAAGAAAAGAAGTAGTTACTAGACTTTGGGATGTTCACTGCGAGCATCTGAGGCCAGCTGGTCACATCAGTGACGTTCTCAATGATTGTTGAGAAACTGGAAGCGATAGTGACGACCAGGAACAGCTGTACAAAGAGGAAGGCAAAGTAATAGTTCTGGACGGTAAGCTCGATGGACATGCCAGTAAAGAGGCCTTGTGTGCGGCTCAAAAAGCGAAGGATGAGAGGAAGCAGTGCCATCAGGATAGCTAAACACAGCGCAGGAAGAATACCCTGAATGGCTGAAATGAACCAGTCTGGTAGCTTGCCAAGCCAGGCAAGCCACGGGAATGCGCCCTCCAGATATGCCAATTGTGATAATAGTCCGGTGAACGCGACGGGGAACGCCCATCCAACGACCATCGCACAAACTAGTGTGATGATGCCGAAGGAACGCAGGTATCGTTCCCACCATTTGATCGACATATTATCCCAGATGACATCGTCAGGAGAGATTTCCACGACTCGCGGTGCCATCTGCTTGGGGAGGTGGTGGCTGACAGCTTGGCAGGCCATGTGGGCGGCGACTTGGTGATTGAACTGGATGAAGGCCGAGTTCATCAAAGGGAACTTCTCAGGGTGCTGTTGGTCGATTTCGATCTCCAGATTCAGACGAGCGAGTTCCTTTCGACAGTAATCGATAGTATCAACCTTTTGGCCTAAAAGCCAAATCGAAGGCATCCAACTCCAACCAAATATGGGTAGACGCATGGTATCTCGGTCCTTGGGCCGGATGTATTCTTTCCACAGCGGCTCTCCGTAGTCTTCATTTTCGAAAT